TCGGGACACCGCGTATTGCTCACGTATAGACGAGACAGTGTGAGTCAAGCGTTTTCTTCGTGTGTTTCACACGTATTTTAGGACGGCATTTCTGTCCAGACGTCTTATAATGCTATTTCTCTCGTTCTTACGTTTGCGATAGAGGATGGAAGATCGCCGCGACTCCCACCACTATTCCCTCTCCAAGCGTCCGACGATCGTATACCGCTAGCTCCCTCCGCCACTCCGTGCTGCTCTTAGCTCACCTACACGTAGCAGTGTATGAGTGACGCGTTATTGTGTGCGAGTCACACGGATATTCGGACGGCATTAACGCCGGTGCGTGTACGTCTCCGTCACCCTCCGACACTTCTGCAGTGGCCTTTAGGATGGATGCGGCCACTGCGCCGCATCCGGGAACCGCTCCCGACGTCAATTTTGTGTTGTTGTTTTAATTATTTGTTGTAAGCCACGAGGATCAGCGCCACGTGCGAAAGCGGCGCGCGATATCCGAGTACGCAGTGCATAAAACCCACTATCCAGTCTAAAGTGGCGACCGTGACATGACACGGTGTAACGTTTTGTGTTGAAAATAAAATTTTGTGAATTGAAGTAAGTTGCCGGGGTGTAAAAAATCGTAAAAAGTAAGAGTGAGTCCCAGATGCGCACATTGACAAACGGACACATCCAATCATATGTCGTTGTTTATAAAGTCTCTAGAATATCTCTAATCATACGGCGTTGTAGTTGGCTGTGTCCGTTTGTCAATGTGCGCATCTGGGACGCTCCCAAAAATAACAGTGTCGTCATCGAAAAAATTTTCGAAAACCTCTAGATGACATAATTTCAATTTCTAAGGATTACTGACCCTGTTTAAGTGGTAAACTGTTAGTTTGCGCAAACTTTTTGACAGATGTGCGCGCGTGTATATCACAAATATTATGCAAACGTCAAATTATAAATGAAACATACTTTGTAGTATTTTATTAAAATAAAATAAAATAAAAATGACATAAGTGAAAGCATAAGGTGCGTAGAACATAATAAATAAGACAAGTGAGAACATAAAGTGAATAAGGTGAAAAACATTATATATTTATAGATATATATACACACGTGCATGTATATGTATAATTGGATAAATAATTATTATATGTAAATAAATAATTAAAATTTTTCAGTGTTTTAGCATGCTTCAATATAAATATTAGTAATGGTTCCCTTATAGAAATATCATACTAAGAATCATTGATAATTACTTATTTTTAGTATTAAAAATACTGGATAATAAGTAATTATCAATGATTCTTAGTATGATATTTCTATAAGGGTTGTGGCTTAGTTCTTCTATTGGAATAAATTTGTCACCATTGCAATAAACAAATACTTATCAGGTAAGTAGATCATATTCAAATAAAATGAAAGATGAAGTATCCATGTACATTCTGTAATTATAAATGTTGGACTGATTCTTTCTTTTGATTAATTTTTTGTTCCATCTCCCTAGCTATCCATGTGCTTGCAGAATTAATTAATTGCTGGAAGACAGTTCTGTGGAGTAAGATTGCAAAAGTCTGAAGTAACTGTATTCTTGAATGCTTCCCACTTGTAAGCAAAAATTGAATTACTTCCTAACGTCAAATATCAGAGTAAGATGTGTCAGTACGAGTGTGACGACAGATTGACGCAACAAACCGAAGACAGGTTCGTAATATTGATATTTACTGTCATCAATGCTTTCGACGGATGTACTTGATGTTTTTTATCACTTTGTCATAGCCTACTGACCTATATATTCCTCTTATCTTTTAGCAAACAAGATGTTTTACCTACGTTTGCCTCTGCAAGTATAGTTATTGGGATTTATGGTCAGAAATTGTAAACTTTTCCAAAAAATTGACAATCCTAAAAGGAGACGACAATAAAATGAAAAATAAAAATCATAAATGGAAGATGCAATGATGTCAAGGATCACAAATTTGTGAAACAACAAATTTGTGAAAATTAAAAGAAGAATAGGAAGTAAGAACATGTTATGCATTTATTTCCTCTTTTCCTATTAATTGCGATAAGTCATATAAGATTAATAATAAATCTAAATCTTCATTATTCTCAATTTTTTTCCAAATCTTTTGTATTTCTTCTTCTTTTTTTTTAAGGAGCAGTTTAAGTCTGACCTCATCCAAAATGTTGGATGCCTCATCATGCAGTGAATACTTTTTTGGTGTTCTGTTAAATTTGCTGTAAATAATATTCTATTGTAAGAACGATAAAAATATTCTAGAAATAACTACAATAGAGCTCTTATACCTAAAAATGTGAGTATTGTTAAATGTTTACGTAAACTTTCCTTCAATTCTCTGTTATGTCGTTCGTTTATATTGTTTGTTCTGTGTAATTGTTTATATACGCAGAGCGAACATGTTTTAAAATTGTTGATCCATGTTTGTAATAATTAAAAAATGTTTCTAAATATGTACATTTATCAAAAATAACTTTGGTGATTATATTAAAACCTTCTTCTATGTATAATTCGGGTAACAATGCTAAAGATAATAATAATTTTGTCGCATTCTATCCTAATTCTTGTCTGTCACTCTTTAAAATTTTATATATTTTTGCATTGCGTACTAACGCCTGCAAAAAGAAAGCAATATAAGGAAAATTAACATGCATTTCATGTTTCTTATTATGTGCATTGTTATCTTTTATTACTTGGCTATAGTGGAAAAAGCAACCAATGATTTTTGTGTTGGGGAATGCTGTCTTGAACGCATTTTGCTCAGCTCTCTCAAAATCGGTTAATATTGTTTCTGGTCTTATTTAGATAATATTATTGACTTTTCTTAAAATTTCTAAATAATTTTTTTTTGTACAACCTTCCATTATTGTATACACAATAGGAAATGTCTGAAATTTCATAAAAATTGAAATTATTCATATATTTATATTTAGTGTCTCTTTCAATTATATAAACTATTTATTATTTAATTAATACAGTAATGAATTCTTTTACTTACTCTGTTATTATATCTAATAACAATTATCCACAACTGACAATTATTATTACTTAATTGAGGCACCGTAGCAAAGGTACCATCACAAAAAATAGTTAAATTATTATTCGTTAATTTTTTTATATTTTCAGTCATATATTTATCAATAAAAATGACCGTATCATTATTTTCAATCACTGATTCTATAATGAATGAATGTGTTTCGTTTATTTGTAATAACTGCTGCCATTTTTTATTTTTTAAACTAATGTTCAGATCATTTAAATTTTGTGGAGTCCGTCCAAAACCTTTCTTCTTTTTAGAACGTTCAATAGATCGTTCGACATTTCTAATGTTCGTAAAATCTAGCAAATTATCGTACCTAAACATTAATGCAAAAATTACCAATTAAAAATTGTATGTAATTTTCTTCTTAATAGTATTTAATATTTTCTGTTTCATTGTTTTGCACTCACTTTGAAATAATTGTGTTTCTTATTATTCTAGTAGATTGAAAGTGA